ATTAACTTTTGAGATTTGCAGAAAATGAAGCAGATGGCTTCGGAAACTCGCGCTCACCACGGATAGTCGATATAAATTTGTCATTTCTTATTGATTTTCGTAATTTGATACTGCCTAGGAAGAAACCTTCGCTGAACTTCCAAATCTGCTTTCAGAGTAAAATCGTCTACTATGAAGAATGTTATAGCCATTCAAATATGTGTTAAAATTTCAATAGTAGATAAGTTGCCCAAAGATCAGTCAACACACTGCTGGGTAATGCGGTTGCAAGGCTTCTTTCAACCAAATGTGACGTAGCTTGAGAGCATACGCTGTGTAAGACTGAGACTTGGCAAGCCTTTCAAAGGAAATAAATAAAGAAGAGATGCCCTCGTAGTCTGCCATTTTCAGTGGCTAGCTTCTTATTTTTTGCTTCCTATGTTGGTAGGATACATCGTTAAAAATTTTTTCATGAGTCCTTTCTACTTGTTGAAAGGATTTGGTGGAAGGTTGGCTAGCCGGGTCTTCTTTTTTTTCGATGAAAGGTTTTCGGGGAAGGTTAAACAATTTTTTCATACTTCGCTTTGTGAGGAGAGTCGCTTCAAAGACTTCGGGCACTGGGAAAGAGGGGAAGGGAGAATTTTCCCGACGCCTCGCTTGACCCATCCTAAATCTAAGGTTTAAGTTGAGCTTCTAAGTCCGAAATCTCAGGCCAACTCGTTTGTAAAAAAAAACTCTAAACAAATTGCTACGACTCAAAGGAACTTTAAACGAACGGAACGTTTTTCGGTGATTATCAGTGCGCTGGGATGTGTTGATTCTCTTTTTTCTGAACGTGTCGCACATAATTTCAATTGTCTTAGAATGCTCTGAAACTTCTATGTGGAGTGTTCCCATCTCTATTTACCGTATGGAAAAACGCTCGCAGTTCCATCCTAGGCTTCGAGGTAATTCAACTTCCAACCACTAGGTTTAAAGAGAGCTTTGCGCAGTGCCCTTAATCTTACGGCTTTCCCCTCTTAAGGGCACATAAATTCGCCCTCCTTCCCACAGGCAGAAAGGGATAAGCTTTGCGCTATGAGGTTAGCGTCTAAGGCGAAGCCTAACCGTTCTTCTGTATTTGTCAATTCGACTATTTCACCGCGAGGCGAGTGGTTAAGAGGTTAGACTCATGTCTGCACCTCTGGAAAACCGCGAGTTCGATCCCTGCCTAAGCCCGAAACCATGCCCTGCAAAATTTAAACAAATTTCAACAATGGTTCTAGTACCAGCGTCAGGCCCAGGTTGACAGGCCGGCTAACGAATACACCAATCATGTCTAAAAGTTGTCAAAGAATCAGTGATAAAGCTAGGAGTCCACCCGGAAGTGTCGCGCAGAACCCCCGCCCGAGTTCTGTGGTCAGTATGCGAGGGCTACAAAGGAGGAACGGCTTGGCCAAAGAAGCTAGTTCGAATTGGAACTGTGAACGTAGGTTGCTGACTGGAAGGTCCCAAGAGGTTGCTGATCTGGCGACAGACCATGTCTCCAGGAGACGCGATGGAAAGGGGCAAGCCAGGGGACGGCGATGTGTCAAACTCTACTACAATGGGGAAGACATTAAAGGAATCTTGCTGGAAAAATCATGATTTTATTTCAGCCATAAATCACTGGCTTGAGACTCGTTATCCACGATAATGGTGAAAAGAACCGAAGTATTGCTTTCGTTTTGATTAGAAATTCGAAAACTCGAAAAGGCTGCTACGCGTTCGAATTGCCCACGGACGTCTCTTCACGAACGCTGGCGACGGGGATGCTCAAACTCGGTTCTTGGAGTGCATTCACTAGAGCTCTTTCTGGCCTTCTGCTTCGTTGCATTCACATCTTATCACCTTTTCTCCATCCTACTCCATCGATCGATTTGTCTTCAATCTCCGAAATCGCCTGCTTTAACCCGATTCTCTCATTGCGTCGCTTTGTACGTAGCCGGGCAAGCGCCGTCTTCTTTCCATGCCTCGCCTGGCTCTGCGTCCTGGTCCTTCGATGGTCCATGACGTTTAGTTTTTGTACGTTTGTTTCTCTTCAGAAACCGAATCTTCATGCTTGAAACTTTGTGTGCTATTTCCACTGATCACAACTGACATATTCATGTTACGAAAAAGTGCAAGAATTTTCCGCGCAAGATTCCTTTAACCGGAACGGTATGGCCATAACGGTAGCTCAAGTACTATGTCTCCGCTGTGAACAGGATTAGCGATCGGATAATGGCTGTGAGGATAGACACAAAGGGGGGTACTGGTCAATACTATCAGTGTACGCGCCGCAGACCGGGTGCTCCGAGAGTGAGAAGGATGAGTTCTATCTGAGGCTTGACGATGCCATCAGATCGATCCCGGAAGGCGATTACCTGACCATAGCAGGTGATTTGAATGGGCACGTCGGCAGCGACAGAAGAGGTCTTGAAAGGGTACACGGAGGTAGAGGAATAGGAGTGAGAAACGCCGAGGGAGAGAGGATTGTGGACCTGGCTACGGCCCACGATCTGGCAATCTGTAGCACGTTCTCCGCGAAAAAGGAGACTCAGAAAGAAACCTACAGCAGTGGAGGGAGACAGACGGAAATCGACCATGTACTGGTAAGAAGATCATCCTTTAGAACTGTGAAGGATATTCCTGGCGAAGAACTGGCTCCGCAGCACAGGCCCCTCCTGGCAGACATAGCCATAGACCTTCCCAAGAAGGCAAGGGTAAGAACCGAGAGAAGAATCCTGTTGTGAAAGTTGCACCGAGCAGAGAAGAGCGACCTCAAACGAAAGATAATGGAAGTTGGTCTCCCAGACGCTGAGGGACCAGTGAAGCGGGCTTGGGGAACTGCGGCTGAGATCATCGTACGATGCGCCAAGGAGGTACTGGGCGAGACGCGAGGTGGATTCAGAGGAGAGAAGGCAGCGTGGTTCTAGAACGAAGAGGTCCAGCGAGTCGTGAAACAGAAGAAGGAAGCATACAAGCGCTGGCAGAAGACCCGGAGCCCAGAGGACCTACAAGACCCACAAGAGAGACAGCCGTCGCCGAGGCGAAGAACACGGAAATGGACGCCTTGTACGAGACGTTGGAGAGCCAAAACGCAGAAAAGTTCGCCTCCAGACTGGCCAAAGCCCGGCACCGGCACTGGCCCTATCTCACTATGGGCAGAGGATGAGGCTTGTCAATAACTAGGGAAGATGAAGGTTGGAAAGGCGGTGGGTCCAGATGGAGTGCCAATCGAGGCATGGAAGCGCTAGGAGAGTACGGGATCAGATGGCTTACCCAATTCCTGAACACGGTAACCACCGAAGGAAGAATGCCGGATGCCTGGAGAGCAAGAACACCTGATCTCTCTGGTGAGCGACATTTACGATGGGGCGAAGGCAGCTATACGCACCCCACATAGCCTAATGAAGGAAGTGGACATCAAGGTCGGGGTGCACCAAGGGTCAGCTCTGAGAACGTTCCTTTTCCTCCTCACACTAAATGTCATGGTGGAGGGGCTCATGGGGGGCCATTGAAGACCATCCTCTACGCTGATGACATCGCTCTGGTAGCGGACAGTAGAGAGGAACTTCAAGCCAAGGTGCAGGAATGGTAGAAAGTTCTGGCAAAAGGTGAGCTACGCCGGAATGCCAAGAAGACCAAGTTTCTGAGCTAGCTTTGGCAGCCGACGGAAGTATGGATCAGGCAGTGAAGGCACGAATCAGCGCGGCCTAGATGAAGAGGAGGGAGTCCACTGGGATCCTCTGCGATCGAAGGTGCTCCAGAATACTGAAAGGAAAGGTGTATCAGACAGTGTTGAGGCCTGCGATGCTATACGGCAGCGAGTGCTGGCCCCTGAACAAGAATCACGAAAGGCAGCTGCACTCCGCCGATGAGGATGCTGAGATGGGCTGGGGTAGGACGCGATCGGACAGGGTCAGAAACGAGGAGGTCAGAGCATTCATGCAAACTGCCACTGTCCAGCTGAAGGTACGGGAACAGCGTCTGCGATGGTATGGGCACGTGCTAAGGAGGCCACAGGACCACCCAATGAGGAAAGCAATGGACTTCGAAACGCAAGGCAAGCGACCGCGAGGTGCCCGAAAGAAGAGGTGGAAGGACGTAATCAAGAAGTACCTAAGTGAAATCACGGTCACAGCAGAAGATGCCCTAGACAGAGTGAAGTGGCGACGACTGATAAAGACAGCGGACCCTGCGACTGCGCGGGACTATTGCTAGGGAGAAGAAGAAGAATATTTCACCGCACTAATTCAAATGATTGTCATAAGCCTATGGATGTAGGGATGTCTCCTGATAGTCTTTTATGTTTGCTGCCGAACAAAACGGTCGCTCCCGAAGAATGCCGTATTGGTTTTCTATCTAACTAACGAGTGCTTTGATTCGGTTGCTCTTGTAGAGACATGGCTTAAGCACGCTGTAGAAAATTCAACTGCCTTGGTATTTTGGGCCCTGATTATAGACTTATCTGATGCGGCCGCCTTCGCAAGGCTGGCGGCGGTGTCGCAATTCTTGCTGGGAAGAAATTTTTGTATCATGTCATATTCAAGGAAACTGTCATTGACTCTTAAGAAATTTTGTGCGATGACTCTCGTTTTTATCTGAATTCTGTAGAATTGCGGCAGTTTACAGAGCTGCCGGTTGTCCGCTCAACTCAACAGTTTTTCAAAGCGAGAACTGATCTCTTTGTTACCATCGGTTCATAGAAATGGGTAACTTCAATTTGCTAGGGGTCAGCTAGCGATGTGGACTAGAATTCTGGTAGCCTTCCTGACATTTCGCGTTTATGTGAAAGTTGCACTTTGCAACAATTGGTTAATAAACTAACTCGCGGTCATCATGTTACCAGGACTTCTTGTTTTGTAACAGGTCAGACATATTCAATGACGTGCTCACATACCCCCCGCAAGGGTCCAGTGACCATTTCAAGAACACCCTTTTAGGCTTCGCCAAGCACAGTCTCTTGCAGAGGTTTCATAGGCGATTCACAGAAGCTGACCGCACCCTAATCTTCAAACTATCTTGCAGATGTGGACTGTTTTGGCTCGTTTCTGTGCTGCAGCAGTGTTAGCAAGATGAGTGAGCTTAACTTTGTACTAGAACATACCATATTTGTTTCTCTCTGTGAGGGTCTTGAGAATCGACCTTCTTCCCTAAATACCTCACGAGGTTTCCAAAAACATGCTTTCAGGCCTGAGAGCGATCACTTGAATCCAAGGGTCAGGGTGACATGTACTATTACTCACATCTGAGAGATCGTTTTCTTAAAAAGCTTATATGGTACGTGCGGTGCACAATAGATTGCACCCTCATAGAAAACTCAATTTTTGACAAGGGAAACTTCTACAGCTTCAGTCGACACGATAGTTCAGAAATAGACCAAAGAATAAGATTTGTATTGCTCATTTGACATTGCAAGTTTTTCAAAGTTTGTTACAACAATTCCATCCTTGGAAATATTGATAAAAATCGGACGGTATGTACTTGCATGAAATGGAACAGAAAACAACCCACATAGTCTACTCCCCTCATCTAGTGATGAGTTAATGTTCCCTTCGTCTCAGTAACCTTGGAACTACTAGGTTATTCCATAAGTCTTTGGCCATTTCCATGTGGTTGTGAAATCTCCGGAGATATTGAATATCCAGTAGGACCTGCGTAAACACTAGTCAATGATTCTTTACAGCTGACTACTGCAAAGGAATTTCTGCGAGTAGCTGAGAAAATTGACATTGATGAATGCGTATTTGGCTGCACTTGATTCTAAAACCCTTAAAACGCCTCAGTGGAAACGTTGCAGCACGAAACCTACGACTTGCAATGGGCCTACAGAGTGTCTTTCACGTCATGGTGAATGGAGATCGGGATTGCCGATGGCAATAAACCGAAAAAAAGAGCAAGTCGGTCGGCTTTTTACAATGAATGACGAGTGTCTTCTGGAGTTGTTTTGAAACAGTCTCTGGAGCAATGCAAGGTAACTGCCACAGCTTTTCCACAATTATCAGAGCACAATAGCCATTCCTCAATAGCTCCTTAAAAAGAAGAGAACTTATGGCAAAGGGAGATTTCGTGGTCTGAGTGATAATCGCCCTAAAAAGCCTGCAGCTTTTGCATGAAAATTTTGACTCGCCGTCTGCATCACGCTTGATCCGATTACTTTGTTGGTATCTATCAAGGAGTCAGTTCCTCAAGTAGCTACATCTGTGAGCGCCACCGGCTTAGATGGAACCAAAAAATACGACGTCGACTTCAGCAATGTAACCTGAGAGCAGGGTCAACCCTGCGTTGCGCAAATTCCAAATTTTTTGCGACCCCCTCCATTTCAAGGGGTGTCAGTGCGACCCTATTGGACATGTGTGTTTTTTAGTGTTACGGTGTATTTCTGTGTGTATCAACGTCAAAAATGGATAATCTAATATTCGTGATCAGGACCTCCGATCCCAATAGACGAAGTTTCAGCGAAAAAAATTTTTCACACCCTGCTGGGGTTGTAATAATGCCGAGCCGGGAACCCTACCGTACTGCTTTAGAGGCCTTTAGCACGGCCTCTGGAGCAGTACGGAAGGGTTCCCTAATGAAAAGAACAGAAACATTCCTTGACAGAAACAAATAAGGCAGGAAACCGAATAGTAAAGTTTGAATGTGGGAATTCGCACCCTTACCGCGGCGCGAGGTAGCGTGGAGCGCGTTTTCCACTCGCTTGGGACGCGGATTTGAGGCAAAATGAAATATCAAAGTTTTATTAGAGGAATTGAGAGGATTTTTTGTAAACCTAGGTACCGTTATATCCTTAGCGGTTTCTAATTTCAGGTATAAGCCAAGATTTCCGTCAACGTCCAACCGCCTTCCTTGTAGAAGCTGGAAAATCTAAATCTCCAACAGTTACGGGCGCCTCCTTGAAAGCTTATATCTTCGTCCACGCGTTTTCATGGAACCGGACACCAAAATTTTGAAAGTACAAATATTTTTCTTTCAAAAAAGCATTTGAAATGCTGCGGATGTTCAATATTTAAAAAAATCGTTTTTTGTGCACACGCGAGTTTTCGACATTCAAACATTCATAACTTTCTTCATAATTAACTTTTTGCGAATGTCTAGGGCTACTAGAAACTAGGAGACTAGTGCTTTCGAAACGGCTGAAACTTTTTTGAAAAATCACTCGTTCAAAAAATAGTCCCCGTTTATTTTCATAGACTTTTTTTCAAGCCTCTCTTCTGAACCGCGACATTGCAATATTCAAGAACCCATAACTTCCTTCAAACTTAATAAAATGTTGAAGTAAAAGTTTGTCTGCCCCTGACAGTGAAGGCGTTTTTGTGGGAAAACGCCTGCTCGGGTGTACGCCGTGCACCTGTCTATGGATAAAAGCCGCACTCGCATTTGAAAGTCCTTTATTTTCCTGAAGAAGGTGTATTTAGTATCGTGATTTGTTGCATTGTACTATTATATGGTACACTTTTTTCACTTCTCCTTCTGAACTGCTCTACACTTTGTTCTCCTTGGGATTTCAGGAATGTTCGTTCATCGAAGACAGACCATGTTTTTGCACTTCGTTCTAACAAAATTTTTGGCTATTGTGATCTTGATCAATGCTGTCGAGCAAAAACGTCGTCCGTGTATCAATGATAATAATGGATGAAGTGAGAATTATAACCTGCATGCTCTAATGCTCCCATGGAGCTCTTGTCTGTGCGACTTTAGGACAGCTGCACGGTGCAGAGCTTTTGTACAACATTAGGCCGTGAAAGTGCACACGCCAACACTGCCTTGTCGCCCTCTTGCAGCCCCGTCCCTCTGTATGCGACCCCCGCTTTCGTTCGGCAAAATGCGACCCCTCGTTCTTCTTTGCGCAACGTAGGGTTGACCCTGCCTGGAAGGCAACATTCAGGGTTGGCAAAGCTACAAGCAATTCTTTTACCGTCAGTGTCGCGCCGGCACGGACGCCTTGCTCCCCGCAAGTCGCATAAGCATCGGGGTTCACCCGGCGAAGGAGCTGCGTCGGTGTCGGCGTGAGGGTAGCTTGCGGGGAGTTACGCCGCGCTCGCTGCCCGCCACTATGCCACGCGGACACCTAATAGGCCTGAGCAGCCCCGACTGGCAGTACGCCATACCCTAGTGCGTATTGCAATACCTAGGACTACGCCGTGATGTTATTGTCCCGCTACTAGTTAGCTACGAGGAATTTCTGGTCCGGCCTACGAGCATTACACCGATTATGAACACACTAATCGTATTGATAAATAGATAGTATGGTGCGGATCAACCGCTACGATATAAACACTACAAGAAAATATATACCATAGATTCATATGATCTTGGAACTACGATGGAAATAAACAACTGCAACATAATGCGGCTACTACCCTCAACTCACGGGTCGAACCCAGAAGTGCTTCTTACGCGGGGATGACGTGGCTCGGCTCCGATGTTCTTCGACGGACGTCCATACCCGGAACCATTCGTTGACATACGAGCACTGGAGCACAAGTGGCGACAACAGACAGCAACGGCCAGCGGCTACACTCGACGGCGGCAGCTCGTAGACTGAAGACAGGCGAGGGCGCGTGCACTCTACATCCCTGACATTCTTCTCGAAGTTTCGACAGCAGGACCCGCGCGCACCCGACCAGGCGCGACCCTTTAATTTGAGTCGTACGGAATTCACGACACTGGGGGCGGTGCACGACGTAAAGGGGTCCCAGCGGCTACGGAGACCAGAGCCCGTCCTTACCTACTGCGACTACGCAGCTACAATGACATACACGTTACTTAAACGTCGAGTCCCTACGGGGCCTAACTACCTACGCTGGGTTTGAGGGCAATTCTTATTGACGTCCGGTCAAGTTGTTTTTCCCTACGATACAATTGCTTAACTACAAATTATTATAAAAATACAATACGACATATTGAATCTATGGCTGAAGTTCGGAGTGAGGCAGCTGCTCGAATGGCGATTGACTTCTTGACGGATCATCATGGAATTGACAGCATCTCGGCAATACAGCAGTAGCGACGTAGATTGACGTGACGTACGGCTTCGGAAAAAATAACTTGATTGCGACGTCAAACAACTACGTGGTGTTTTTCTTAACTACTGTGCGAGTTTTGCCTCACACCTATGGGGGAAATTTTAGTGCGAGGGGGAGATTTTACCTCGCCATGCAAAATACCCACGGGTCAGTTGAGGGGAAGGCGAAAGAGAAATCCCGGGTCAAGCAAAAGGAAATAGCGGTCTCCCAACGCTCCCCAAGGGGTGCTGCCCGTGTGACAAATAAATCATTGACTAAAAACTTGTCGTGTAATACGAAAGTACACTTACCACTGACTACGAAAAACGGCTGTACAACAGCGAAGAAGAGGAGCAGTCTGAAACTCCTTCTCTCCTTTGCTGATTTTTCGACTTACCTGCCCTAGAAATCCTTACACATACCGCCGCTAAAATGCGGGTTCGGTCCCAAATGGTTCGCTTGAGCGAGCCATCCTGGGGCGCGAGAGGGAGGTAAGGCTACGCAGATGTTATGCGTATAAGTGAATAACTACTCTGATAGAAATAGGAGCCCACGTTACACTACACAAGCTAACCGAAATTATATGAAGAAGATACGACTTGTATCTGAAATTGGGGCAACATATTGCTTCAATGAGTGATACATAGTGGAAGAACTAATTAAATTTGTGCTAAATACTGGATTGATGTGTATGATGTAACTACTAACTACGCAATGTGCAAGTGCAGAAGAAAGGGTGCTTGTATCCTGCATTGGCGCAATACCACACACAATACATCGGCATTGCTACAATGAAGGTCACGTAGGAAGGAAGAAAATAAGATTGCAGTCTACGATGACGGCCGAGGCGACGGAGAGCGCGATGACGTGCGCTGCGATGTAACTGCACTTATGCTAAGGCTTGTAAAAAGAGTGGTAGTATCCTCGTATTTCTCCGTGGATGCGATGATACGGTCTAAATTCTGCATTACCTGATCGAGATCAAAATCCGAATTGGTTTGAAACTCGAGGTCGTGTAGTTTACGTTGAATTTCCGACGGGAATTTACTCTTGACTAGGTCAAGAAGCGGCAACACCGTACGGAAATCTTCGTATCTACGCAAACAATGGAGAATACCGGATATGCGGAACCAGGTATTACGCAGGTCTTGACCGTTGTTACGAGCTGCGGGCAGTTGCTGAAGTTGCTTATGAAGAGTCGCACGGGTCTTATATGGACGATCGTAGCGCCTCTTCAAAGCCCTCACCAACTCAAGATAATTGCACTCGTCGGGATCAAGGTCCTGAAGTACTACCTGGGGCTCGCCTTGAAGTAGACTTTGAAAGTAAAGAAATTTGTAAACCGCTGTCGCGTATTAGGGTCATTATGCACTGCGAGCTCGAAAGCGCACCAAAACCTATGAAATTTAGTTATGTCCCCTGTGAATGGTTCAAGCGTAAGTTTGCCCAGTTGTAGCGCGGGTTGCGCTGAAGATGTTGGGTACAAGGGTTCCTGTTGCACTACGGAATGATGTTGCGTGTAGTGCGATGACAGGCTAGGCGCGTCAACTGTACGTTGAGGCAGTACATAAGGACGGACGACATCACTCGCTGTAGACTGCGTCGACGAATGCTCTCGTGGATGTTCTTGACTACGTTCGGGCATATTCTGCGATGTATCTGAAAGCGACGTGAGTTGACTGCTGTCAATAAGCGTTTTAACTTCTTGTAAACGTACGCTATGAGACAATATTGTTGACTCAACTGCCGCTATAGCATCGTCTACGCGAGACCGGTTAGTAAATGCCTCTTAGGCGTCGCTGTCTTCGCCTTTGGCGGCTAGATCTTTGTCCACGTCTAAAAGGGCTTGGCGCTTCTCCAAAAGCGTGCGCTGCGCTGCTCGAGCTTGCGCTAGGTATGACTGAATGGTAGCTTGACGCAAGCCAAGCACCTGCGGCGTTGCGCTACTTTGCTGATCTAAAGGTTGAGAACAGACGCCGGGATCTTACCTTTTAGAGCTTCCTATGCCGTAAGAGCTTTAGTTAGATCGATCTTATGAGCACTGAGTTGCGACATTTTGTTCGCTGGCAGGAGGTAGTACTGCCGTACCCAAATCTAAAACTAACTAAGGTGAGTGTGTGTTGATCCGTGTGGCAGCTGTGGCCTTTAGCTGCCCCACGGCAACAAAGGAGTGACATGTGACGCAGTGCTGGCCAGGCAAATAAACGGGAATCGACGGCGTATGCGATACGAGAGGATAATGGAGTACAGCAAGAAGAGGTACTAAGTAAGTAGATGGGTGCATAACGTACGCACTATGAACAGCGGCACAGACAATATGCACTACCGTATAATGCCAACATGAGCCCGTGAAAGGGGTGCAGCGTGACTCAAGGAGACCCATAGTACCCTATCAGAGAGCACCGTCGCATACCCCACCCACCTGCGCAGAGTTAACGCCAACTCGACGTATCACGGCTGTCCCCACTGCGGCCTGTGCCACTCAAGTCGACGTGGGTAAGAGAAGGGTCCCACGTGGAGATAGGCTGGGGAGTCCCAATGGCGTGACGCCTGTGAATTGAACTGCACGTTTGAACATGATTTGTATGCCTACGACCATTACCGGGCCGACTAGGCTAGCGGCGAGCGCGAGAGCAGGCTCGATCACTAAGGCCCAACGTGGGTTTCCCACACGTCGAACCCCAGTCCGATGCACCATGTCGCGCCGGCACGGACGCCTTGCTCCCCGCAAGTCGCATAAGCATCGGGGTTCACCCGGCGAAGGAGCGGCGTCGGTGTCGGCGTGAGGGTAGCTTGCGGGGACTTACGCCGCGCTCGCTGCCCGCCACTATGCCACGCGGATACCTAACAGGCCTGAGCAGCCCCGACTGGCAGTACGCCATACCCTACTGCGTATTGCAATACCTAGGACTACGCCGTGATGTTATTGTCCCGCTACTAGCTAGCTACGAGGAATTTCTGGCCCGGCCTACGAGCATTACACCGACTATGAACACGCTAATCGTATTGATAAATAGATAGTATGGTGCGGATCAACCGCTACGATATAAACACTACAAGAAAATATATACCATAGATTCATATGATCTTGGAACTACGATGGAAATAAACAACTACAACATAATGCGGCTACTACCCTCAACTCACGGGTCGAACACAGAAGTGCTCCTTACACGGAGATGACGTGGCTTGGCTCCGATGTTCTTCGACGGGCGTTCATACCCGGAACCATTCGTTGACGTACGAGCACTGGAGCACAAGTGGCGACAACAGACGCAGGCCAGCGGCTACACTCGACGGCGGCAGCTCGTAGACTGAAGACAGGCGAGGGCGCGTGCACTCTACATCCCTGACATTCTTCCCGAAGTTTCGACAGCACGGGCGCGCCAGGACCCGCGCGCACCCGACCAGGCGCGACCCTTTAGTTTGAGTCGTACGGAAGTCACGACAGACAGCTATTACCAACGAACTGCAATGTGTTTGTAGAACGACAATTTTGGCAGGCGGGTGGTTCTCCTGCGCTTGTGAAACATAACAAAATTCACTTCATCCAGGCGACGACAGTAAAGGGATTTTGAAGAAGGTTCAGCAAAAGACTTCAAGCCCCTTATGGGACGGTTTGTCTGTGTGTGACCAGATGTGTTCAGCAACCCGGCCCCAGCAGAAAACCGTCTGCTTCATTCGTTGTTGATTAAAGTAAAAGGAAGCGAGCGCTGTGATCCGAACTACTCGGCATGGAAGCTACTTACGGTTATTCCAGTTTTTTGCCTCGAACACTCAGAATTTCTAGGCAAACGCATCCACAATTCACTGCTGCTGAAAGGCAACATAGAAGGTTAAGTTGCTGACTGTGCTAAAGAAGAAAAGTGGATTTGAAAAAATCGAGAATGGCCAAAAAATTTGTTAGTTGTTGTTGCCAATGTTACAACGTCGAAATAACTAAAATGAGTCTCAGGGGGTCTCATCACTTCAGAATATCTCCAAAGCATTGAAGAGAAGTCCCCAATGTTTTCTTTGAGACACAAGTAGTGTTCTCTTCTTGAAACGCGTCAGTACGAGTGCCGTTTACCTGACCCACCTCTCCTGAACATGTCACTGAAAAAAAAACTGAGGAAAAATGAAGATGAAAAGTGCAAATTCAACATCGAGCTGGTAATGTGCCCAGAACATACCGCTGCTCCACATCTGTTAATCCCATCTTCCCCGCAAGAGGGAGCAGTCGGTGATATTGAGCGAGGCGTAACGCCGGCTTTTATTCTTTGCCAAACTTAACAGATATCTTCTAAATGCAGGCCATGGTCCATTTTGAAATGGAACCCCGCAATCTGCAGCCAGTTCCAGCATTCTTTGTGGGACTGAATGTCAACTTGATTAACCTTTTCACTACTGGTGGTACACATGTGAACCGCTTCCGGAGTCAAAGGCACTACCATGGTTTTGAGACTTATTCAGACGGGAGTGCCCTCTTGATAGCGGAGATAGATAGATAAGGAAGATGTGTGAAGATATGAAAGGAATGAAGATATGAAAGGCTATAATTTTTACTGCAATAACAAATCGTCACAAGCCAAAGCAAATTACTCTGGATAAATTATGGTAATAATAATCCATGTTGTACCGCGCGTCTTTGATAATTGTACACAGCTCCCAAAAAGCTAACTTTCAAGACCCATACACTCTTATTAATTGTGCTAGTTGGTGTCCCCTACATTCGTATCAGATGCAACGCACGCTAACGAACGATGAAACATGGGGAATTTTGTCAGCCGAATCAGTCAGAGGACTACGCGGTGTTCCACGAAATTCTTGCCGATTCCATCCTCTATTATTTTGACAGTTCCGATGGTGCAGAAGTGAAATTGGAAACCTACTACGACGACACAGATTTTGAAACAGTAGAAGACTACGAAGTTTAGAGCAGAAGCACTCCTTTAGGCACGCAACGCCTCTATGGAGTGCGGCATGCAACACCCACATTACCGGATATTGGCTTTGTTCCACGAATGAGACATGGTTATTGAGTAGTTGTACTTGTTAATTATGTTGTTAATCTTCATTTCAAAAATACTCATTCGAGCGGTGATGGTGCGGTGAGAAGAGGGGCCGCTACCGCGCGCATGGTCCCCGGATCAAGATCCCAGGTCATATCATATCCTGCGTACGTCAGCCAGCCTTCTGTATTTGAAATGTTGCAAGCAGCGATAGCTACTACATAAAACACATCGGCAATTCAATCTCAAAAGAGCCGTAGTCTAAGAGTTAACCGGCGCCTGTCGCCTTTATAGCAGTTAATTTTCGTACCATCTTCTTCTTTAGAACAGCTGTGAGTGGGCTTGATTACGTTGCAACTGTACACCTCGGAATACTGAGATCCTCAAAGAAAACTAACTGTCCACACGGCAAGGTAATGCGTCACTTCCCATCCAGTCTTCGCTCGTTAGTCGCGTATAATTCCGTACATAATTATAATAAATTAATAAGAATAATCAATATATTATTAGTATTTTCTAATAATAAGAATAATATTATTAATAAATAAGAAACACGTAATTATATGCGAATTTATATGCGAATTTTGAAAACAAGAAAGAAATTTTGGAAAATTCAAATACCTTATGTCGTCCAATCTATTGTGCCTCGAGAAATAACCAATATTTCCCGCAAAAAGTCTTCGAAGACACTGTATTTAATTAAGGTACTGCGACTCAAAACACATCCCAACACGTGGAGATTTAGTGATGGTAAGGACTCTTCAGTATGAAGAGGAGAAGGACTAGCACAGTACTGTTCTAGCGATCAGGACGCTAATGTCGTTGGAGAGGGGGATGCGTACATTCGAGTGAGTGAGCCAGTGCTTGGGACCAGGGTGAATAACGGTCGAGGAAATCCTCGACCATAGCTCTCTACCATGGGAGAGTAGTGAGAGTGAACATCCGCGCAGAGGGCACAGGCGGCACGGCATGGCGAGTGTGAATGTCTGCGCGAGGGATCGTCTCTGATCGGGCAGAGAATCCTCGACGTGCCGTTAAGGAATCCTCAAGCGATATTCACCCTGCTCGGGACTAAGACTTGAGGAGAGGAATGGGAGAGGATGTGGGCAATTTGTGTACTCTCCCGTGGCGTTTCTCCCCTCTATAGAGCTTAGTCCTAATAACACCTGCCATCGACCCTTTTTGAATGTTTCCTCAAGGACAATGATCATTTTGATCGGCAGGGCGCAATTGACACTAAATATCTCTAATATAGCAAAAACTCTTGATTTTAGTATTGCTTATTGTGTTTGGTGATGTTAGTGGCATTCAATGAAGATTCTCTCTAATCTCTGCGCTGAAATATTCAAACCGAAGGTTGCATTCGAACCTCCGCACGCGCAAAGTATTTTTGGTCCTCAGAATCATGTGTAATTTATTCAAACTGGACACACTTTGACGTGTGGATTTCTATTGCAAAATTTGCCGCGAAGCCTTGGATCGCAGCGCATCCCTTCGCGCAAAACAAGCGTGCAAGCCCGGACGAGCCAAGGGTTCCGCACCCTCTGCGAAGCTTAGGAATCACGGTGATCAGTGTCCCTAGTTTCATGAAGAGGAATTTTGAACTGCATTCTGAAATGGCATAACTCATTTTCGCGCACCCCTAACGGCGTTTACTCTACTTTTTCGAAACGTGTATCCAAGAGCCCCCTCAGATATGTCATGAACCTCTTTCTTATGAAAGGTAAAGTCGCAACCATTTGGAAGCATTCTTACGTTACCCCTATGCAGAAAACAACGATTGATTATGGTTTAGATTCAGTAACTACAGGCCAATACAGTCCACATCCGCCAGACAGGGTGGGCGGGGCCACATACGTAATTGCGGACTGCACAAATTTGATAGTGTGAACAGCTGGTTTATATGCATTGATTCGTTGATTTGTACTATTAGGTTGTCCCATAATTAGTGAATCACTTTACATT